AAAAGTGTCAAACTTTTCTTGTTTATCGACAATTAATCACACACAGAGAGTAGAGGGCTGACCTTTGGCTTGAAGAAATGGGGAAGCTTGAGGACGAGAGAGGAGACATCAAGGGATCTAATTTTTTTATTTCAGAAGATTGATGGAGATATTGATTCAAGTAAACAGTGAATAAGTTTTTTTTTTCTTTGTAAAAAGGAAATGACTTAGGCTAAAAAACAACTCTATCAAAAGTGTTTTTTTTTTGGTGAAGTGAAATTCTGTCTAAAACTTAGCAAATTCACGCGGCTAAATTTTTTTATTTTCCCGCGATACCAAACATAGCGTTTGAAATTTATAAACGCTATTAAAAAAATCGGTGTTGGTATACAATAGCAGAAATGTCAAAAGCGCTATGCTACGATGCTATTAAAACCCACATTTCCTGTAGTGTCTGTTTCTACTAACCATAGGAAATGGAAAGAAAAAAACTTTTGTTGGGCCCTTTTCATGCAAAAGGAATCACCTGTCAGAAAATGTAAGAGCTATATATTAATTGGCTTCTTTATCTGCTTAATTTTAGTGTGAACAGGTGTTTATGAGTGAGTCTCTGTTTCTGAATATGCAGAAGAATCGAGGCTAAGCAGCATAACACTGTTATCGATAAGTGCGCTAGAGTACAACTTTTCAGGAACGGAAAGAAGATTATTGCTTTGGCCCGCAATATGGTTGTTTTAACCTCATTGAGGCAAATAAAAGTTGAATTAAAAGCCTTTGTAACCAATTTTTAAACGTGGATTAGTTTTGTCAAATGTTGAATCATCTTTTGCTAATGTTTGCAGTACTTTGTCTTCATTTCTGGATTTGGTCATAAGGTTTATGTTGTGGTAGATATTCCTGGAGTTATGTACAAGGTTGTCAAGGTTTCTGGTGTTTCAATCTCAGCTCTCTACAACGGAAAGGAGCAGCCAACATCTTAAGCAAAGCTTCAGGTTCTGAATTTGATCTTAATATCATAAGCACTTAAAGGTTGTTTGGTTAAAAATAACTTTTATGTTCTATTATACTTTATGATTCGAGAAGTAGGTGTGTTTCACTTCTTTTTAATTAATATTTGAGTATGTTTTCGTCTGCACAAGAAATAGCAACATCACAAGTGAGCAAGAAGAATAAGGCACCAAATGACATGGCATGCAGTGTTTCTAAATAAGGTAGAAGCATTGTGGTCTAGTGATCAAGGTTTAAAGGCTTCTACACCTAGGTCTGAGGTTCGAATCCTAGGTTATGCAAGTTCTACAGAAAAATGTCTGGGGTTTCAATACCTGGAGAAGGCGAATTATGCAGACTATTGGAGAAAATGCTTACAATAGATCTTCAATATGGTGCAAGAAGTATCGTTAAGAATGGTACTCATAGGACGGCTCAGGATTATGCAGTCAGATGTGAATATGCATAAGGCATGTATAATTGTCGGTTGTAATATTTCTCATAGTTTGTAATGCATAATTAACCAGTGTAAAAAAAAATAGTTGTTATTATTTATGGTTACAAAATTAGTTTAGATGAATATCTTACTTGACCATTACTCATTAATTTGTAATAAAAGATAAATGTTCCCATTTTCCAAAAAAAAAATTATTTATATTCAAAAAAATAAATTAATTGCATACAAAACACTAAAGTAACTAGGTTAATATCTGCGCTATGCGCGGGATAAAAATTATATATATAAATGATTTTATTTCTTATTCTTTCTTTTGTGTTATTTTATATTCAATAATTGAAAAATCTGTAACTATTATATATACAATTAATTTAGCAAGCACTTAAATAAATTAATCATATTTGTTTATTTAGAATCACTTTATATAAGTAATCCAATCAATAAATGATATTAATATATATATATATATATATATATATATATATATATATATATTATACTTTTAATTTTTATATCTAATAAATGAGGCTTCACACTTACATGATTTTCTGATCATTTGTACAATTTTAATAAAAGTTTTAAAATAATGATACCATCATTTTTAATGTGAGAGATTTAATATTTACAGTAATTTATCATCGTTTTAAAAAACTAAATTCAAAGTTTCTCATTAAAACATTAAGTTCTCAATAATTGTTCAATGCAATTTTGGAATTAAATCTTTATGTATTTTTAAATGGGATTTAGCTTAATTTAAACATCACTATATATATACATCTAATTTAAATATCTATTAAATGATATTTCTTACTCATTAATTATATAATTTTCTGTATTGTGCTGTAACAAAAAAAATAAACTATTAATTAAAAATATTATATGTGAAATATTTAAATTTTTTTATTAATTTATATTTGTTTTAAAAATGCAAAATATAACATATAGAAAAAATCTATTTTTTGTTATATAGTTAATATTATTGTTTAATTCACAATATAAATTTAACAAAAAGAGTATTGATTATACAATTTTTTATCAAATATTTCATATTAAAATCATTAATTATCATATATATATTATAACCATATTAGGTAATTTCGTAAACTTTATTTAAGAAAATAATGATTAGCATTATTAATAGTTTTATGCTTAGTTTAATAAAAAGTATATTATATGTTTATATGAACCAACATTTTTTCTAGTAAATTTGAAAAGCGTTTTCATAATGACACATGATACCAAAACATGTGATAATGCTTCTCAATTAATATATAGGGGATATTTTAAGATGTTACAACAACCTTTTTATGTTAACAAACCTTTACATATATGTTTTATTATTTAGTGACCTCATCAGTGTACGTTATAACAAAATTTTCATGTTATCTACATTAAGTCTTAAATATCGAATCTAATGTTACAGTTTCTTTGTAAATATTGAACTCTTTCATGAAATTTATCAACTAAATTTGCATTGCTTAATGCCTGCAGAATCAACTTGATTAGCCAAGTGATAATGAATTCTCTTTTCACTTTCTGTGACGTTTGAACTTTATAATATGAAAACATTTTGTAAACTATGATGTTCACTTTTTAGGAGCTCGAGCATGTTTTAATTTTAGTCGAATCAATGCAAGTGGATTAGGTAATCGACTAAATATGATTATGCTCCTGAAAGAAAACATCACTATTTAAGATTATTATATTGACTTGAAGAAATATACAATATAAGATTCGTTAGTGATTTTATGGTTTTAACTCTCGGATCTCTCTATCCACGAATGGTCGAAAATCAAACTTTTTTTTTTTGCTAACCCAATATCCGACCACAAAGCGTGATCGACTAGCCCATCGGGTCTAAGCCCATGCCATGACAGAATTTTTAAGCGTCCACTTAAGGGCTCCTGGTTACGCTAAGTGGTCTGGAGCGCCACACCAACTCCGCATGTTAATTATGTGGTGGCCGGAGTTCGAAGTCGGGTGACGGACACCTCAGCCGAGGTTCCATTACCACCAGGCTACGAAACCCGGTTGTCGAAAATCAAACTTTAAAGATGAAAACATATCGAATTTAAACAAGTTCCTCAACTGGAAAGTCATATGGATAGAATCGTTTTGGACTTAGAGTAAAATATTGATATATAAAATTTAAAAGTTAATACTTACTTAATATACATAAATCCAAAATTTTGAAGTTTTTTAGTAAATTTATTTTAATAGTTAATCCCCAAAATATAAAAGTGTATATATAATATGGAGTGATGAGGATAAGTCCTACTGGTATAGTCTTTTGTAGAGTTCTTTAGTAAAACTATAATGACAATCAATAGAAGTCAGTGTATTTTATTTCTTTGGAAAATAAAAGTAAATCAGACTATCAGTAATTGTCCATAAAAATAAATAAGTTTAAACAAACATAAATTCTAAAATAATGATAGTCTTAATTTTGGTGAAATTTTTTTTTTTTTTAAACTTTATAGGGTGAAAATATAAATGATATTTCCAAACAAAGAGATGCACTGAGTAAATTTTTTTGCTCATATATTTAAGTATTAGAATTCAAATTATTTGGCTTTCAAACTTACAAGTTAAATTTGACTTCCCCAAAATATTATTTTAAAATTAAAAATTGCATGTTTTACCGATTAATATGCAAAGTTACATGTCATGTTCAAAACATGTCTAAAGAATGCAATCTTTACTATTTTACTTATTCACAATTATTCATCATGTCAATTATTTATATTTTTTTCATTTTAATATTGCAACACAAAAATGAACATGTAAAAGCTTACAAGTTTTAAGTTCTTTATAGCCTATTTGTACTCTTTATCATCATCTCTACCAATCAATCAAGATTTTAGAAATTTTTATAGAAACACCTCGGTTTGGTTAAAATGAAATTCATTTGGTATGGTTTATATTGGTTAAATCATTTTAGTTTTTATCATATATTATTTGGTTCTCCATAATGCGTCTGACTCATATGACGTTCCTTCCTAATTTACTTATTTTTTCTCTCCCACACCTATCATTAATGTTGAGTGAAAGCGGTGGATCTACAGTTTTGTTAACTAGAGGCAAATTTATTTAATATATAAATTATTTTAATTATTTTAAAATATTTGTTATTTTTTGTAACTATTTAATAATATTTAATAACATTAGATTACATAATCATTATTACAAATTTAATTGTTGAATAAATTGTAATTTAGATAAGAAACTTGTGAAATAGTGTAAGACAATAACTCCAATGTAAATTAGATACAATTTACAGGATCGAGCTAAACTAAAAAGTGGTTTCCTATAGAGAAGAAAAAATAAAGTAAAACAAAGAAATATGCTAAACAAAGAGACAGAATGAGACTTGAGTGAATGGTATACTTTCAAAAAAGGGACAATTAAATCATGCAGTTGTTCAAGATAGAAAATAAGTGATATTTTATTTTGGAAAATAAATAATTAAATTTTTTTAACAAATATGAAAAAGCAAAACGTTTCAAACATGCGATAAGGGCAGAGGTCTCAACGTACCGGGGGCAACATCCTTTTTTTGTTAAGTATGTGAATTTCACTAAGCAAAAAATAATGACACAGAGAGATATATTTTAGTGCATCTAAGTTGCTAATCAAAGCAAGTGTGTCTTAGGGAACCACAAAAAGGTAAAATAGGCAAGAAAGGTTCAATCCCAACACAATGGAAGTGATTAAAGCTAAACTAACAGTTCGGTAGACAACATTGAAGTTTGCAATAGACCACATCAAGAGATTTGATGTCAGAACCTACAACAAAACCGCACAGGCCCTAAAAACACAGTCAGATAACGGTCCGAGGAACCGTAGACCATCCCAAAGGCAATTCCGACCAGAAAATAGACAAAACAGGGTTGACCGTGCTCTGGTCCGGCTATCACTAGCGGTGAAGTCCACTCCAAACACTGCAATCTCAAGAAGATGACAAACCGTGATCCTGATAATCCAAACCAGACAGTGAGAAGCCAGCCGTTGAAGCACATGTGGGTTACATGCAAAGAGACACAAAGGTTTTAGCAACTCGACTCCGGTCCCATCATGCGAGCAAAGCACAAAAGATATCAGCTTCAAAACATCAAGAGAGGCAGGAGACAAAGGCCTTATTCCTTTGAAACTTGAAGAGCGTAGGAATATGAGCTCCCATCAGCAGGCATGAGAGGAGAAGAGACCCATCGAACGGAGCTGAGACATAGCAGATTAACAGCACGAAACTCTGAGCTATCCTAAAAACCTCCAATAGATTTGGATACTAACAAGACACCATGGTAATTGTCGAGGAAGTGTACCAGAAAAGAAGTCCTCGACGAAGAGTCTCACCATCGCCTTTTTCATCTTGGAATGAGTCAGAAGACAGAGATGTTATTACCTTTAGCAATCGGAGGAGGAGACAGAGAAAGACAGAGGAGGCAGTGAACTGACTGGAAGGGAGAAGACAGCTACACTTCTGCATTCTGGCGGACCCTCCGTGAGAGATATGACCCAGATCCGCGCAAGTCAAAC